ACAATTAACAAAACAGATCAACTGATAACTGAAAAACTAACAACTCAAAGTTAGATATAGTTTTCTCAAATGGGGAGAACTATAACATTATGTAATTTCTTCAGAATGAGTTCCATATTAATAAAGGGCCAATGACATGGCCAATGCACAACAAAAGACTCCAACAACCCAGAAGAACAAGAGGTGGCTATTTGATTTGCATCTTATGTTGTATGTGCATAGGAGGACAGACCTCCATGCTGCTTAAATACATCAACAAATATGAGAAGTATTTTATTGCGTATTCTGTCTTCACTACAGGGGCCATAACAGCGGTCAGGACCAATTCTTCCAGGGCACTGGCTCCTTTCTAGGACCACAATGTTATTGTGTGTGATTGTTACCTTTATTACTTTTGCTTAATGAGCCAGGGCATCAAAATGCTTCATTTTCTCTATTGTGCATAAAGTGGAAAATAAAAATAAAACAGGCAATGTCATCATAGTGGCATGATTTCTTTTTTGTCTAACCTTTAATTAAACTTTTTTTGTCTGTCAGTATGGTCATTATCTTTATGAAATAATGGCTGATTTAAAGTGTAATTGGAAAAAAATTTGTAAGGGTTGTGATTTGAATGTTTATTAAATTAATTACAAAAACCCAAACTAATGTGCTGGGCTAGAATTCTACTTTTTGCAACTATGACTTGACACATACTTAAAGTGATCATCACATGGGACACTTCAGTACTGACGTGAGAGTAGCTACTGTTGTTGGCTCCTAAGCCAAATCAGCAAGCTCTCTATGTGTGAATCTGCAGCTTCAGCAGCAACTTTTTTCCCCCACTCTTCAACCAAATGCAACCTCATTATCAGAGACCCCTCTGTTTGATCCCTAATGGTTACCACTCCATTGCTCTGGCTCCAACAACCCTTTCATCTCTTTTAATGAGTTAGCTGAAGTCATTGAGGTACCTCTCAAAAATATCCTGCAAGGTCTGCATGATTCATTTACCGCTTCTCTTAATTCAGTGACATTTTACTCACTTTCCCTTCAGACACCTAAGAAGCCATATGCCTAGGCCCATCTAAGTATTATTGTTTTTAAAATAAAATTAACTCTCATTTAAACCTCAAAGATTACGTGGGTGATTTCTACACTAATAAGTCTATGGGTCACAGTATTTGCAAGAATTGCAGGTTCTCCTATCAAGTTTGTTTTATATAAATCACAACCTTTAGTGAAAAGCGACCTAAGCCAGTGTCAGGCCAGGTTGTTGTGCATATGCCACTTTGATGAATGAGACCCCAGATAATTTTAGGGATGCTCTGATACCTAAAACGTCTAAAATATCCCACTGTCAGTCTCAATATTGGAGTGTTGATGATCTGGCTTGTTGATAATTATGACATATTTTTAGCTATTAATATAGGAATGTGCATTCAAATTAGCAATAAATATGTGATGATTAGAAAATAGCTTAATTTTCTTTATAACTCATCAAAAATCCAAAATGTCACAACTATGAAACCATTTGCATAAGTCAAGACAAAATATATTTTTTATGTAACAAGCGATCATAAATATTCAATACATGTCATGGTTTTGGGTAATTGTTAACCAACATGCAGAACACTCTGAGAGACAATGCAGTCTTTAAAAGTTTTATTTACAAAGAGCATATAAATATTGCCAAGGTTGTGGAAGCTGCTTAGGGGAAGGAGTGGCAGGAACTCTGGAAAGACAGGTGGATTAGATTCAGGCTGAATGTGAATGGCAGGTTGATTTTGAAGAAGAGAGTGTGAAAGTTCTTACTTGGCATATGAGGTGGATCCACCAGGGATGAGTTAAGATGGGATCTGGGTGTTGGAGCTAAAGGGTTGAATCAAAGATGGTTGTGGCTAAAGAGGGCATAAGAGTTTTGAGAGCATAGTGGAAGGCAGATCAGGTTCAAACTGAATAGACTGTGGAGAGGAGTCAGTAAATGCCAGCAAATTGCCACAGTGAAAAGCAAGTTTTCACTGTGGCATTGAAGTGCTTAAATAGTCTGAAGCTGATGAGGAAGATGTGCAGGCAATCAGCAGAGCAACCCAAACAACCGTGCTCCCACATGACCTCTGAAGGATGGACTTGAAAACTGCAGGACAAAATAGGACAAAACTCCCAGACCTCAACAAAATGTGATGCCAAAAAAATAAATAAATAATTTCTTGTGAATTTTAAAAATTTACTTTATAGACAACCAATACACTGGACTGCAAAAAAAATAGATAAATTAACTAACCAAAAGTATTACATCAATGTAGATTGAAACATTACTGTCTAGAATGAAAGCAGTGTTTGTATATCAGCATTGTTTGGCCCGAGTGAACAATCGTTTGAGATGTTTTGAAATTTCCTTCATTTTCAGCCCATATATAATTGGATTTAAGAGTGGATGATACATTATTAACTGTAAAGTCATAATTAGCCTTAAAGTCTTTGGAAAATCTGAATCCAGCCGAATTGCCATAACATCAAATACACACAAACAGGAATAACTGGTCAATGTAATTAGGTGGGGTACACATGTCTGTGCTGCTTTTTTTCTCACTGCCTGGCTACTTCGGTAGGATATTCTAAGGATATGTGTGTAAGAGAATATTATGAAAAAAGCAGGCATGAATAGAACAGTTACTAAAATGAACAAATAACGTATAATTTGTGC